AACGCCCTTATGAAAGAAAGGCAATGCTGGCGTGGTATTGTAAGCACAGTACTTAGGAGGCTGAGGCAGGAGGATCGCCTTGAGTTCAAGTCTGGGTTAATAGTGAGTCTGAGGCCAGCCTGGACTAAAAGCTCAGAACTGTATCAAGAAAAAAAAAAAAAAAAAAAAAAAAAAAAAAAAAGAAGAAAAAGAACAAGAAAGGAAAGAAAAAGAAAAAAAGAAATGCAGGCCAGATGTGGTGTACATACCTTTAGTTCCAGGCTAGAGAGGCTGTGACAGGAGGATCACTTGAGTCCAGGAGTTCAGAGCCAGCCTGGGTAACAGAGTGAGACCCTTATCTCAAAAAACCCAACAACAACAATAAAAAAGGCGGAGGGATCGGAGACAGACGGAACAGGTAGTGAGATAAGGGAGACGGTCACTGAAGAAAAGGTGGAAATCAGAATGATGGAGTCATAATCCATGGACACCTCGGGCCACCACAAACTGCAAAAAGCAGGAAGGACCCCACTGCCACTGAGCCTTCAGAGAAATGCGGCCCTGAACACACCTTGATCTTGGATATCAGGCCTCCAGCAATGTGAAAGAAGTGTCTGTTGTCCTAAGCTACCAAACTAGTGGGGAATTGGCCCACAATCCAGTTTTAAGATATCTTCTCTATTTCACACTAACATGGCACTGTTGAGTAGCTACAAGACACTGTCTGGCCTGTGATGCCTAAAATGTTTATTGTTTGGCCCTTTACAGAAACATCTGCCCAGCCCCTGCTCCAGAGAGGCTGAGGGAAATATCTGTTCTAGAAAAATAGAAAGCAGGGTGAGCAGTTCAAGGGGTGGAAAGGCCTCACCAGGTAGGCAATGTTTCTTCCAGGGCCTGATGGAAGGAGAGAGAGCAAGTCTTTCAGCCAGTGAGAAGGGCCAGGGCAAAGGCCCAGAGGCACAGAGACGGACTGGTGCAGGGGTAGCAGAAAAAGCCAAGGTCAAGAGCAGCAGAGCCCGTGTTCCGTGGGACAGCCAGGTACAGAGGGCGAATGTGACTTGGTTTCTGTTTTATAGATTCTGCTCCTGTGTGGGAAATAGAAGGGGCAGGAGAGGAACCAGGGAGGCCCATGAGGAACATTGCAGTGGTCCAAGTTCTCAAGGATGATAGCCAAACCAGGCACAGTAGTGCACTCTGGGAGGCTGGGACATGAGGAATGCCAGTCTGGGCAATTTAGTGACCTACAGAGAACCTGTTTCAAAAAATTTAAAAGAGGGAGTTAGAGACTGTGAAACCCCAGGGTTCAATCCCCAGTACTATTAAAAAATAAGAAGATGGCGACCAGATGGCAGCAACAGAGATGGTGAGAAGTGACTGGAGCTGGGGTCTCTGTGCGGGTAGAGAGGACAGGAGAGCAAGGTCAAGGCTGGGAGGAGGAGGATGTCACACAGTTCTGCCAGAGAGCAGGGGTGGCCAGGCTGCCAGTCGCTGAGCTGACGGGTGCCCTGAAGGGAAGGAGAGAGATGTTGGAATGGGCTTGGTTCACTGTGGGGTGGGAAGTGGGGGTCTCACCTTGAACTGTAGTTGTGATCCTACTAGACTTGCGCTGGAGGGGTAGGGTGGGCAGGGCTAGAGCTCAGGGATCTGCGCTGGGAACATGGGACATTTCAGCGTTCAAGGTCATGATCCCAGAGAAACAACTATGAAGAAAGATGTTCACAGGTTGAACCTTGGGGCTCACCAAGATCAGAAGTGAGCAAGGAGGACTAGGACTGAGAGATGCCCAGAGGGGAGGGGAGGAAGTGACCTGTTGTAGGTTCATAGACTGCTGCTCTCCGGGCCGGTTGGATAGGATGAGACTTGCCCATGAGACCTAGCACAGGCCGGCTGGCCATGACCTTGAGGACAGCTGTTTGGAAATCAGGAGCAGCTCTCACGTGTCTGCCTTACACTGGTCGCTACAGGCTGTGACGGGAGCTTAGCAGACTGCACAGGACCTCCGTAGCGGCAAGACGCAAAGCACCTTTTCCTGCATCTGGATGGCAACCTGGATGGCAAGTTGCCATAGCTCTTGAGTCACTCTCAGGGGCCACAGTGTCTTTGGGTCACTTGTGATCCCAAGAACAGACTCGGCTCAGGAGCTGCACCAGTTCCAGTCTGACAAGCAAACTTCTCAAGTGTGCTAAAAAACTCAGCTTCTCTCAACTAACAGGCCTGGGCTTGGGCAGGAAAGCTGCAGTGATGGGGTACAGCTGAGACCCTCCTTTTTTCCTCTCTCCCCTAGCTCTGTAGGCTGGAACTGTCCCAGGGATGGGCAGAGGAGACACGGAAGGGCTGGTGAGACTGGTGCCCCAGGACACTGTAGGGTTGGTGGATGTTAGGTGTGGATTCTTTCTGAGCACGGAGGACAATTCTCAGTGTCTGCTCCCTGTGAACACTTGTGTTTGCCTGGTCATCGAGCAGATATGCTCAGCAAGCCCAGCAAGGCCACCTGTCCAGCTCCACAGACAGCCAGGCAGCTACAGCCATACATTTGGCCTTTAAGTTGTCAGGCCAAACAACGCCAGACATATGTGCCGTCCCCCTGCCTTCTTCATAGCTCCAAGAGACATATGGCCCCTTAAAACCTTTCTGGTCAAGCTTGAGATGAAGGAGTGGGCAATGGGTTAATAGGGTTTGCCTGAAACTGAGAGGTTCCCAGGACATTGGACATTAGGGCTAAAACTGAGGCTGTCTCCATCAAAAAGGAGTAGTCATCCTGGGGCCTGAGTACACACAGGACCCCAGATAAGAGAACAAAGTAGGCCCCAGTCCTGGGCCTACTACTTAAAAGTTATAAATCACAGCCATGTGTGATGACACCAGCCTGTAATCCCAGCACTCTGGGAGGCTGAGGCAGGAGAATCACAAATTCAATCTTAGCATGGTGACTCAGTGACTTAGCAAGACCTTGTCTCAAAAATAGGAAATAAAAAAGATCTGGGGTTATAGCTCACTATGAAGGCCCTGGGTTTCATTTCCAATACCGGGCGGCGGGGGAGGGACTACACTCGCACGACGTGTAAATCACACCTCAATACATCAATGCCATTTTTTATGAGATTTTTGTAGACAGAAAGGGACAAAAGAGCTATTTTGACTGATCATACCCTGCTTAGAAAATAACAGCAGCAATGCTAAAAATTATGGGTGTCTTTGTAGGTGTGGCAAAAGGATTATTACATAAAATGTCTTTAGGAGATTTCTTCTATGCTATGTCATGGAGAAATATCAGATGTGTACAACACACTTTCCATATTTATGTCTCTGGCTGGTATGGCAAAACATTAATATATTTCAAACCTAGACAATAAAAGTATGGTTGATCACAGCAGGAAAAAAAGAAAGGTATATACCAGCAAACAAGCCGTGCATAAGGAGCAGTCCATCCTCCTGGCTGGACAAATGTAGCTCATAAGAACTAGAAGGTGATTTCATGTGGAGCTGTTGGGCCTCCTTGGAGTTCTGTGCTGGCACATGGTTCCAAATGACAAGAAGAGACAGAGCCCGAGGGCCCCTCCCTTCAGCGGTGGTTCTGGAGGTGGTACCACATGGCTTCTTGTTCTTTGGACAGGAAATTATTCGGGATCCAAGCCTGAGGCTCTGTGGGGAAGGGCAGGCTGTGGGAGGGGCTTGCTAAAGCTTTGGCTCTGGGCAGGAGGGCATCTGTGCGTGTGTTTCTTCTGTCAGGCCAGGGTTAAGCCCCTTCCGGTCACCAGCTCCTCACGCTACAAGGAGCCTTCCAGTGCCCCCTTTGCTGTCCCGCTCCTCAGCTTCAGCACCTGAGCAGGAGTCTCCCTTCTTAAAAAAACAAAAACAAAAACCCCCAAATCCTGGCCAACCCCTTCCATTCTTTTCTCAATCAATGTCACATCACTGTCTATACTCACAACCTCTTGTCTTCACTGCCTACGCCTGCTGCATCTTGCTTCTAGAATCTGCCGCTTCTAGTACCCCACACCTCCCCTGCCTCCTTGAACCACCGCCAGCCTCCCCCACCTCCCACCCCGCTCTGGGTCCTCCTGCCACACACCGCCCCCTGGCGTGTCCAAACTGATGGTCCTAAAATGTTCACATTCAGTTGGTGGCCAACAAGCTGGGGAGGGGCTGGGTGCTTCGGGGATGGGGGGGTGGGAAGGAAGGACATGTACACAGACTGGTGACTCCCAGGTCTGGGGCCGGGAGCAGCTTGTTGGTTGGGTGTGGACAGAGAAGGGGACAAGAGGACTCCAATCCTGTGGAATATTGTGTAATTTCTGCTCGGAGACAATCCCACCCCAGTGGGATCCTGACACAGACATCCGCAGCAGTAGTGATGGGAAGAGAAGTCACCAAAAGAGCCCAGGACAGGAGACCTCACTTGGAAGTGGTGGTGGGGAGGATGCAGGCCTCAGGCTGTGGCTGAGGGTACACTAGATGGGTCCATGGGCCTCTGCTGGCCTCATCTATCTGCTGGTGTGTTAGAAGCAGCAGCAGCCCCAGACTCTGGCGGGAGTGAGAAGTGGCTTTTTTGGCTTCTAGGCCCTGCAGAATAGCTGGCACTTGAATGAACCTGAAGACACTGTTGCTGGGGGAGTTGGGCAGTGCGGCTATGCGGGCGTCACCAAAGCTGGCCAGGAGGACCCTGAGCTGGCTAGCAGCTCTCAGAGCTCCGGGATCAACAGAGAAGCTAAGAGCCCACTGCTTAAGAGTGCCAGGCACTGGGGACCCACCTCCTGCCAGGGCCCCCTCCCACTGCTGGCCAGGATCCCATGCCTTTCCCTGCCGGCTGGTAATTCTCTAACCGAGAATTACCAAGGGCACAGTGACCGAAGGGAACAGTGCTGGCCAAGGCTTTGGGAACAGCCGGCAGGGCACGGGTACCTTTGATGTGGAGCACCGGCCTCACAGTCAACAAATGGCAGAGGACTTTGCACCAAGATTGTTTCCCCACAAAGGAAGGGACAAGTCACAGTTTCCCCGCCCCCCCCCCCCATGGCTAAGCCAGAAGGTGCAAGACGCATCACGGAAGCTCAGCTTGCTCATGAAATCCTCCTCCCGGCCCACCAGGAAGGTCTCAAGCGATGCCTGTTCTGCAGAAGGTGGGGGCTGGGTTGAGGCTCCTCAACAAAGAAGGAGTGGCGGTGAAGTCCCCCTTACTTGTTCTTTTCTTTTTTTTCTTTTTTTTCTTTTTTTTTTTTTTTGATACCGGAAATCAAATGCTTTTTAGGTTTTCGGTGGGTAGGGGGCCGTATTGAGAATCAAACTGAGCACCTCGCGCTTGCCAGGGAGGCGCTGCGCCGCTGAGCTAGATCCCCACAAGGCGGAGGTGTCACTTGCCTGCCAGGTTCGCGGGCCGCCACGTGGCCACGAGGGGGCAGCAGCAGCCTGCCCTGACGGCTCCTGGCGCGAGAGAGCCAATCTCTCCACAATGGACAAAGAGCATCTCTGTTGTCTAACTAGAAATGGGAGGTGGCAGGGTGAAGTCACAGACCTGTCTGGAGAGACGGCAACTGTGTGCACGGAAAGGGAAGACCATGGTCTCAGAGATCGCTAGACGTGCTTGGAAACTTACTGTCTATGCTGACCTTGGGCAAGTTATTGAACCCATGGGGACCTTGGGTCTTTTGTTGTTTTAATTTGTGCCAGTGGGTGAAAGGTAGGTGCTTCACTTACCTCCATCACTTTGATGGAGGTAAGTGTGATAATCAGATAGCAAATACACTGGCTCAGCAGGAGTTGTGGGGCTGCAACGTCCCAGCCTTTGCCTGGCGGGGAGGCCCTGGTTCGCATCTGGGCAAGTCTGCCTGCGGGCCTGGCACTGCTGCACGGGAATAAACGCTCCACCCATATCAACAGATTGTCTGTGAAGCTAAGTCTTAACTCTCTGGCATGGACTTTGTGGCTCTTTACTGACTTGCCTGTGTGATTGCATTCATTCCTCCTCCTTCTCCTCCTAGTATAACCCAGGCCCAGCTTTCCTGCTGCTGACGCCTCCTGGGCCACCTGTCACCCTCTTGCCCCTGTGCTTTGCGGTTCTCCTCCCTGTGTCTCCAGTGTTTTACCCTGGATCCCTACTCAGCTGAGAACTTGTGTGGGGCATCCCCAGCCCACACTCCTGTTTCTACCTAGCCTGTTGCACTGTCTCCTGGTGACACTTCAGTGTTTTGTGGGATCCCTACTAACCTGTGGGCTTCTTGGGGCGGGGACCCTGTGAATCTTCCTGGCCCTCTATGACTTCCGCAGACAGGACATGTCCTCCCTTGGCCAGTATATCTACAGAGCTGTGCCTGCCACTGACACCCAAGTACCCACAGCAAGTGATCCTTTCCAATTTCCATTTTGTGCTAAGGAAAGTGAGGCTCAGAGAGGCTAAGCAGGTGACTGGGGACCACCGCCTGTGTCCTCTTCAGAGTCAGGGAGCAATGTGCACTTAGGAGTCTGCCCACTGCATCCGTCACAAGCAGCTGCTTGAGGTCTGTCACTTGTGCAGGGTCAAGGATGTTAATGCCTCCTGAATCTGTCAACCAAGGCAAGTGCTCCTGAGGGATGCTCTGATGACTACCCCTCGCTGGTCCCCACCAGGTTTGCCAGATCTGGAAAGGAAAACCCCAGGCAGAGTGTCACTGTCGCCCTCACCTGGCTCTCTTTGGAGACTCAGGACTCTCAGTCTGGGAAAGCTAACTGATAGATACAAAGGAGCAGTGAGGATTCTTATCCACTTACTCCTTGCTAGCCCAGTAGACTGCTCCCACCCATAAGCTGGGCAGGAGCTCAGGAGTCGAGAGCAGGCAAATGGCACTAGCCCAGTCTGTGATTGACTGTTAGAGGTGCCTAGCAAACTCATATGCTACCCTTTGTCAATTTCTCTATTGAGCATCTCAAATATTTGAATGATCTCTTTGGAACTTGGAGGAATAAGACCTCTGTTCGTCACGTATATTACACAACATCTCCTAACGTATATAGGTTGAGAATCTTAATCTGAAAGTTCAAAGTCTGAAGTGTCCCAAAATATGAAACTTTTTCAGGGTCAATGTGACCAAGTGGAAAATTCCACCTCTGATCTCACCTGACAAGTCACAGTCAAAATGCAAATGCACTAAAAATATTGAATAAATACACCTTTGGGGTATGTGTATAAAGTAGACATGAAACATAAATAAATGTTATGTTCAGACTTGAGTCCTACCTCCAAGATACTTCAACATGTATATATGTAAATATTCCAAACTATTTCCAAGTTTTAAAAAATCAAAATTGAAAACATATGTGGTCCCAAATAAAGTGATACTTTATTTGTATTTAACTTTATAATGCTTTTCATTTTTACATAATTAAATATTCTGCCTTCTTTGTCTTTTGAATTTCCTTCCGTGCTTACAAAGGCTTTCTGTACCCTCAAGTCTAGAAAAATATTTACACAAGTACTACTTGTAGAATTTTCATTATTTCCATTTTGGGTTTTTTTTTTTGTTGTTGTTGTTGTTTTCCAGTACCGGGAACCAAACTCACGATCTTGTGCTTGCCAGGCAGGCGCTGTGCCACTGAGCTAAATCCACAGCCCCACATTTTGACACTTACATCTTGTAAGCTTCCTGCATTTTGGAGTAAGGAATAGGCATCTAATTTTATTTCTTTCCAATTGGCCATTTAGTTAAGATCATCATATACTGAATGATCTGTTTTTCCCCTACTGATCTGAAAAGCCTCTTTTTATCACTAAATATCTCCAAAATTCTGTGGACAATTAACCTGTCTCTATTCCACCGATCTGTTTGCACGGATATTGTTGTTTTCATTATTTTTTTTTGTTTTGGTTTTGTTTTTGTTTTTCTCCGGTACCGGGAACCGAACTCACGACCTTGCGCTTGCCAGGCAGGCGCTTTGCCGCTGAGCTAAATCCCCAGCCCCTTGTTGTTTTCATTATTGTGGCTGTAAGTGATGACACATTTTAACATTAAAATTGTGCTATGTACTCTTTTGAATGAGTTTCAGAATCATTTCATTAAGTTTCTTTCCCAAAAAGCCTTATTGGATTTTTGATCAAATAATACTGAAATGTTAGGTGCATTTAGGAAGGACCAAGACTTACACAGTGAAGTCTTTCTACTCAAGAACACAATACTGCCCTTCATTTATTCAAATCTTTTTCAGAGCATCAACAGCATTTTATAGTTTTGTTCATAGCTGGCCTGCAGTTTCTTGTAAATTTATGCCTAGTTATTCTACATGCTTTCTAGATAGTTGTTAATAAATACTTTTCATTGGTATTTCTTTTTTTCTGAGGCTGGGTCTCACTATGCTGCCCAGGCTGACCTCAAGCTTGTGAGCTCGAGCCTCAGCCTTCCAAGTGGCTGGGAACACAGTGCAGGTTACCAGCCCTGGCTTATTTGCCTTCTGCTCTACTGGGCTGATATGTACATATAAGACATCTATTGGGGTTTTTTGTTATTACTTTGAAAATGGCCATTCTTTCGGGTATTCATTCATTTTCTATTTTGATTTACAGAAGACTTGTAGAAATAGTACAGAGGGTTCCGGTTTCCCCTTGTGTTAACCCAGTTTCCCCCTTATGCTAATAATTTATGTAACCACCAAACAATTGTCGAAATGAAGGAATTAGGCCAGGCGTGGTGGAGCACGCCGGTAATACCAGTGCTCTGGAGGCTGAGGCGGGAGGATCGTTGCGAGTTCAAGACCAGCCTGGGCTACAAAGTGAGCACAAGGTCAGCCTGAACTGCATAATGAGACCCTGTCTCAAAAAGACCAAAAAAAAGAAATGAAGAAATTAGTGTGTGGCACCATGCTAGGAACTCCAGGCTTTAGCAGTCCCTAGTTTTCCCAGGGATACCCAAGCTCATTCAGACCCCAGTCCTGAGCCCCCACACTGCATCCAGTGGACGTTTCTCTTGGGGCTCCTCCAGTCTGTGACATTACATGGCCTTTCCTTGTCCTTTCATTTTTGATGCTTTTGAAGAATATTGGTCAGTTGTTTCATAGAATGCCCTCAGTTTGGGTTTGGAGTTTTTTTGTGACTGGGTCAAGGGTATTGTCATTGGAAAGGGTATCACAGATGCAATGTGTCTTCCTAATGAGCTGCATTGGGAGTACTCAACGTGGGTTAGTATTGCACAAGACATTAACCTTGAGCATTTGGGTAAGATGGTGTCTGTCAGGAGTCTCCACTGGTAAGTGATTATTTGTCCCTTTTAATTACCAAATGTCTTAGAGAAGATACCTTGAGGCTGCAAATATCCTAGTTCGACTTCAACTTTTTCTCACCAATGTTAGCATCATCCATGGATCTTGCCCACAACAGTGATTGATATCATATTCCAGTGACAATTTCCTGTCCCCTCATTCCTTCCACCTTTGTTAATTGGGCTGCTTCTGTAAGGAAGAGCTGTAACTTCTCTCCCATTCATTCCTTTTCAAGAAAAAGTTGATACCAAAATGAACACCTGCATATTGGTTTTATGCGCTGGGTTTTAATTGAATATGATCATAATTTTGTAATTCAGGCTCTTCCAACTTTGTACATTAGGGGCTCTTCTAGTTTGGCTCCTGTGACCTTCTAACATGCCTGCTCTCAGGGGCTGGGGATTTAGCTCAGCGGCACAGTGCCTGCCTGGCAAGTGCAAGGTCGTGAGTTTGATTCCTGATACCAGAAAAAAAACAAAAAACAAAAAAGAAAAACCAAAAACAAACCAACAAAAAAAACATGCCTTGAGACCCCGTCTCAAAAACATTTTTCAAAGGTGGGGTGGGTCAGTGACAGAACATTTCACTAGCACACACAAGCCCCAGGATTAAATCTCTAGTAACACAAAAGAAGAAGAGGAAGAGGGAAAAGGAGAAGGAAAGAAACAGAGAAAGAAGGAAAGGAGGCATGTATGCTAGAACGCTCTCTTGTCTTTTTAAAAAATTTATTTTATAGTTCTTATCTTGGATTTTTTTTAGCAACTTCATCATATTAACTACCAAAAAAAAAAAAAAAAGATGGTTTTGCTACCTCCAGTGTTTCTACCCATTGTCCATCTTTCATCTGACTGCACTATTAAATAAGCTTTTGCCTTTAGAATAGTTTCAGGTTTACAAAAAAGCTGCAAAAGTAGCTCTGTATATGTCACATCTGATTTCCCCTATAGTTAATATCTTACATTGATATGATACACAATTGCTGAGCCAAAAACATTATTACTAACTAAAGTTCACGGTTTATATTCAGATTTCTTTAGTTTTGACCTGACGTCCTTCTCCTGCTTCAGGATCACACCCAGGATACTGCATCCTTCTGCCTCCACCTGCCAGAGGGTTGGGATTATAGGCACCCACTCTCATGCCCAGCATGGATGTTTATTTTATACTTTGGGTCTATTTCAATATTGTTTTGCTTACTTCATTCTCAGGTTGTCCCAGCTATGGCCTTCAGGAGCTCTTTCAGCTGGTTTCTATGTCCCTTTGACACATCTCCACCATTGTGAGTACCTTTTTCTTTCTTAGCACTTCCTTAATTTCTGAGTCTACAAGGTGTTCCTTGTAAGACTACCTTGTATATTCTCTGTCCCAGCCCTAGAGTTAATTCGTTCTGTCTCAGCCCAAGCAGTTAATTGGTTCTTCAGGGAGCTCTACTTTTTCTTTTTTTAACTCAACAGCAGCATTAGAAACCAAATCTGGACACTAAGTATATTTTGAAAAATAAATATAAATTTATTATCTTGGGCTTTCTAGATGTCATGCTGGCTAATTTTTTAAAACGATGATTTATGCCAGGTACAATAGCACATGCCTGTAATCCCAGTGTGGAGGACCAACTAGGCAACTCTCCTTCAAAGTGGAGCAATTGGCTCCATTTTGGCTGAGCCTGACCCTATTTCCATGTAGTGATATGTACAGAGCTGGCTGGGACTTTTCCTTATCCCTTCAGCTGGCTTTAAGCAATGCATATTGGTCTAGCCAAGGTGCTGATGGTAATCTTTGGAGATGGCAGTGTTGCTCCCTCGAGTGAGCTGGGATGAGGCGGGATGTGTGAGCCAATGCTCCACGCTATTGGCTGGGACTGAGCCTTGGGATAGAGGCTATGACTTCCTGGGCCTTCAAACATTACACATCAGAGCTGAAACACCTACCCTCAAGCATTAGATGCTATCTCAGTTGTGTTATGCAGATTACTCTTTCTGCATATCCTTCTCTCTGAATTTGCAGAGGTGATTTCAGGTCTCCTACCTAGCCCAGTTTACAGCACTCTCCTACTTCCCGTGATTCTCACAGTCACTCATCCTCAAGCCACTCCCTTCTTCATGAATGAATAAAAACTGGGTTCAGCCTTGTGTTGAGGCCGTTATTCTGGATAGCCATCATCATGGCTGGATTCAGGACCCCTTGGCTCCCTATAACTACAAATATGCTTTAGTGTCCTTATTCTCGTCATGGGTTGCACTGGAAGTGGTAGATTGGAATTAACTTGCTAGAATTCCAATAACTTTTCACGGGATTACAAATATAAACTTCCTGGGCCGTCAGGAGAACTGGGTAGGGCACTCACGAGACTGAGGCAGGTGGATTCCCACGAGCTGAGGCCAGCTTGGACTACATAGTGACTTCAAGTCCAGCCTGAACTACATAGTGAGACCTTGCCTCACAAGAAAAAAAAAAAAAAAAGATGATGACTAGGCCAGGTGTGGTGGTACACACCTATAATCCCAGCACTCAGGAGGCTGAGGCAGGAGGGTCACTCTGAGTTGGAGGCCAGCCTGATCTACAGAGCGAGACCCTGCCTCAAAAAGACAGACCAAAAAAAAAGATGATAATTTAATCACTTTCTCTACAATATTTATACATATTTAATTCTTTTTCTGTATTTTTTGTTTTATATATATTTTGTTTTGTTTTGTTTTTTGAGACAGGGTCTCATTATGTTGCCCAGGCTGGCCTTGAACTCACTATATAGCCCAGACAGGCTGTAAACATACTCCTGCCTCAGCTTCCAGAGTGCTGAGATTATAGGGATGCACCACCACACCCAACTGTTCTCTGTATTTTTAAGGAGGCAGCATAGCCACACAAAATTCATGAGCTACAAAAGAATATTGCTTTTTATGAGGTGCCAGGGATGGAGCCCAGGGCTTTGCCTATGCCGGGTAAATGCTCTACTACTGAGCTGCATCCCCAGCTCCAAGTGCAATTTCTATGTTGCTTTTTATTACCTAACATTATATCTTCAGCATTTTCCCATATGCTTAGTAGTTCTTCAAAAGCATCATTTTTGGGCTGGGGATGTGGCTCCATGGTAGAACACAAGCTTAACATGCAAGAGGCCATGGGTTGATAGCCAGCTTTGCAAAAAAAAAGAAAAAAAGAAAAAAAGAAAGAAAGAAAGAAATCTAAGCATCATTTTTCATAGCTACTTAATAATTTCTCATATGACTATAATTTATTTAACTCTTTTAAATAACATGAACTATTTTAAATAACCATTTAAAGCAGCATAACATTTACCAGCATTTCAACAAACCCTGAGCCACATTTTATTCAGGCTCCAGATTACATAGCTATAGCACAGGACCGAGAGTGGAAAAAGACTCAGAGGTCAGGGCTCAAGTTAGAGCTGGGGCCCAAGGTGACACCACACTTCCCAGTTCCTGTGTGCTTCACGACAGCTCTGACTGTCATGAAGTCATGTCAAGAAGTCATAGCCTCTGTGCTTCTTCAGCTCTGGGATGCTGTCACCTCCTCCTCTTCCTCCTTTCCCTCCTCCTCCTCTTCCTCCCTTTCTTCCTTCTCCTTTTCCCCTCCTGCAAATCCTCCCCATCTCCTCTTCCTTCCCTCTTGTTTTTCCCTTTTTCCTCCTTTCCTTCTTCTACTTCCCTTCTCCATCCCTCCACCCTCCTCACTTTTGCAGTCTGGGTATGGAACCCTCCCCTGTTAGGCAAGCACACTACCACTTAAAGACAAAGCACTCAAGCACTTAAAGAAGCCCTTGTTTCTTCTTTAACATCAAACTGGCATCTGTCCATTGCCTTAGTCCACTTTCTGCCGTTGTATCAAAGTACCTGTGGCTAAAATATAGATAAGGAAAAGAGGCTTATTTCGCTCACAGCTCCGGAGTCTAAGAGCACAGTGCCAGCATCTGCGAGGCTCCTGATAAGGGTGTCATGGTGAAGTGATCGCACGCTGAAAGAGGGAAAAGAAAACCAAGGAAACTGAACTCGTTTATAACAATCTGCTCCTGTTATAACTAATGTGCTCTTGCAGGACCTACACCAAACCCTTCAAGTGGGCAGATCCTTTGTGATCCAATGCCTTGTGGAGACCCTCCCAACACTATTACAGTGGGGACCAAGCCTCCTCGTGCGTTTCGAAAAGGACAAACCAGGCCAGAACTGGAGCATTTGTTATTCATCGATTTGTTCCACAAATATCCATTGAGCTTCTACTGTGTGCCAGGCACTGTTCCTCCAGCTGTAAATACCAAATAAAGATCTCTGCCCTGTGGAACTTTCACTTTAGAGAGGGGAGACAGACAGACAGTAAGAAACGTAGTAAACAATTGCACGTGCTAGAAGTCTTATTTGATAAAGAAAGGAAAATGTAGGGCAGGGTGGAGTGAATCAGGGGAGCACAGAATGGTTAGGAAAGGTCTGGTGGAGGTGGTGAGACTTGAGCAAAGAGCAGAAGGAAGGGAAGCCTGGGCCAGAGGACGTCTGGGGGAAGGACATTCCAGACAGAAGGAAGAGCCAGGGCAAAGTTCCCGGCTTGAGAGCCAGTTTGCTTTTTTTAAGCACAAAAGCATTTTTCATGTTATTCTGTGTTAGTCAGTACCCGAGAAAATCACCTTCAAGGAGGAAAGACTTCTATTGGCTCACGGTTTCAGAGGTTTTAGTACACAGTCACCTGGCTTTGCTGTTTCTGTCCCAAACATCATGGTGAGGAGCGGGCGACAGATCAAAGCTGCTCACGTCATGGCAGCCAGGAAGTGAAGAAATAGGGAGGGGACTGGGAACAAAACATCCCCTTGCAGACAACACCCAGGGGCCTGTTTCTTCAATGGAGCCCATTTCCTGAAGTTCCCACCACCTCCCAATAGCCCATGTGGGTATGAATGTGTCAGGGAATTGATCCATTGATGCAGTTGGAGACCCCACAACCTGATCCCCTCACAGCACCCCATCTCTGAAAACCACTGCATCAAGGACCAAGCCTTCCATGCAAGAGCTTCCAGGACCGTTTCAGATCCAAACTCAAACACATTTAATGTTGCAAATCTGTTTTCTTTTTTTTTCCTTTCTGCAGTACTGGCGTTTGCACCCAGGGAGTCATGCGTGCTAAGCGAGAGCTCTCCTACTTAGCTACAACCTCAGCCCCATTTTTCTCTTTTCATTTTGAGACAGGGTCTTGCTAAGTTACCTAAGCTTGCCTCAGATTTGTGAGCCCTCTGCCTCAGCCTCCCAAGCAGCTAGGATTACATGTGTGTGCCACCAAGCCCAGCTGCAAAACTGTTTTCTGAACTCTATGAAGAACAAGGAAGCTGGATGCATTTTTTTTTTTTTTTTTTTTGGTTTTTCTCCGGTACCAGGAACCGAACTCACGACCTTGCGCTTGCCAGGCAGGCGCTTTTGCCGCTGAGCTAAATCCCCAGCCCCTGGATGCATTTTTTTGTCCCAAAGTAATGAGGGAAGAGCTGTCTCTTTCTCAACACTGCTCTTCCTGTGCCTTTGGGCCCCATGGCAGAGTCTAGGAAGGGTGGCTTTGTAGCCCAAGCTAATCCCAGCAGATGTAGCAGGATGCCAACAACAAGACAAAAGTTTATTCTTAGCTTTGGAGTTGCCAAACAGAATGTTATGGCTCACAGAAGAGGCAGTAGGTGCAAGGAAGTGACTGGCATGTGTGATCTTGACCATGGAGTTGGGATGACGCCCCAAGGAACACCAATGTTTAAAGCACCCATTCCTAAACTTTTTTGTCCCAGAAACACTTTCATTCTTAAAAATTTTCAGGCTCCCTAAGAGTTCTATATTTCTCATATTAGAAATCAAAGCAGAATTGTAAAGATTATCTATTGATTGAAAAATACAATCTACTGCATGCTAACATAAATAATATATTTTATGGAAAACAACTATATTCATCTAAACAAAAATCAGTGAGAAGAGTGGCATAGTATTAAATTTTTGCAGTTCTCTTTCATGTCTGGCTTCTGCATTCAGTTTATTGTGAAATGTTGATTTGGTTGAAGTCCGTAAGAAAATGTGGCCTCACGTTACTAGACCAGAACTCGACAATTTGTAGATGTCTAGTGGTTAGTTACAGTATGGAAACTGAAAGTATATGAACTCTTTGAACTTTGTAACATTAAAGTTCAGTATGTTAACTGGGTGTGATGGCCCATGCCTATTATCCCAGCACTCTGGGAGCTGAGGCAGGAATACTGCAAATTCAAGCCTAACCTGCATAACTTAGCAACTTAGGAGACCCTGTCTTAAAATAAAAAAGTGGCTGGGGATATAGCTCAGTTGCAAAGGCTGTGGGTTAAATCCTCAGTACTGGAAAAAGAATAAAAGACAAATATGTTAAAAGTTTCCTGATAACAGAATTGGTTTCAGAAGTGGGGTGTTACTGTTCAACATGCAAAAAAAAAAAAAAAAAAACAAAAAAACCCAAAAGACTAAATTATTTGACATTGTCTCAGCAACCAGGCAGGGTAGAAATCAACATCAGACAGACCTGCGTAACACAGGGGCAAACATTTGATCCAACTGTCCCTGGATGATACAATAGGTCTGGGCCTATAAATCTGGGGGAAGACATTGTAAACAGAACATTAATAGTGGACCTTGGATCTTACTGTTGTGGGGTTCAAGACCAGACCAGATGAAAACACAGCACCAGAGACACTTTGAAAAGCAGACAGCTTTATTACACTAGCGGACTGAGGGACATCAAGGTCCAAATCACCAGCCTCTTTCTGAGGTTACTAATTGTTTATATAGGGTTTTCAGAAGGAAGTGCAAAAGGCAGATAACATTACATTTTTTGTCATTAATTGCTGGGCAGAATTTACTCTTACAGGAACTAATAAGGTTACTATCATATAACATGGGGGAAAGAATCATTGTCTGAGACCAGGCAGAGGTATCCTTGAGGCGATAACTCTCTGGGACTTAAAAGTAAGAAAAACATCACTGTCTGGCTAAGTTGCACTTATCTCTCACCTGGCTCTGGGAGCACCACAGCTCACTAAGTTTTGTAGCTCTTTAATTATGAGAATCAGTTGTGTTTCCCTGTCTCATCCTTGAACAACATTAGAAATATACTAGTGTTAGAACTGTAGGGTTAAAGGGCTGGGGATTTAGCTCAGCAACACAGCGCCTGCCTGGCAAGTGCAAGGTCATGAGTTCGATTCCCGGTACTGGAAAAAAAAAAAAAAAGAACTATAGGATTAAAATTTTCATTACATTTAAAATAGTCCCTACATTACTAATTACATTTAGCCAATATTAGAAGAGAGATATTCTCAGGCAAAAATAAACAAAGAAGCAAAAAACAGGCCAACTTCCAAGCAAAAGTGAGATTAAGAGAATTCAAAACTTACGTGGAGATGGTGACAAATGCCTATAATCCCAGCACTCTAGGAAGCTGAAGCAGGAGGATGGCAAGCTTGAGTCCAATGAGGGCAATTTAGTGACTTGGCAAGACCCTGTCTTAAAATTAAAAGAAAAAAAGATTTTTTAGAAAAACCAAAAAAAAAAAAAAAAATAAATAAATAAAATAAAATAAATAAAGGGCTGAGGATGTAGTTTGGTACAAAGGCCCTAAATTCTATTTCCAGTACCCCCACCAAAGCCTAGATATGTGACCTCGTACATTAAGAAAATGCAGTTGTTCCTACATACCACGTGGCTTAGAGTGGCAAAGGCCCATGAAGTCTCAACTCAGTAACAACAATGAGATGGCGACCCGTAGGTGGGGAGGAGAATATGATGAGAGGCAAAGAGAGAAAATCATATAAGAAAGAATTTTGGGTGGTTACTTGTACAAACAGACTAGCTACAAACAGACCAGAAGCCTGCTACTTCTTTGAGGGAACTGATTTGCCAAAGAAGTCATGAGACCAGACTGTAACACCATGTGTTGCTCAGATATTAAAACAAAAATAGGGCTGGGAAATATCAGCTCAGTGGTAGAACACTTGTCTAGTATTGCAAGGTTCTGGGTTCCAGTCCCAGTATTACAATAAACAAACAAACAAACAATGCCAAGAAACCTGACCTGCAGGCCCCCAGACTTCCGTGGTAGGAATGGCTGGCAGGGCTGTACATGCCCTGGGTGGTCACTGTCTCTAATATACATTTCAGATGTGGCCCCAGACAACAGCGGACATGGGGGACCCCAGGGAATGGGGAAGGGCTTTGGTGTTTCTTCAGTTATTTCGGCTCCTCTGTTCTCTCTTCTGGGAGTCTTAGTATTTACGTCTGGGATATTCTGGGCGTGACTCCCAGAACACTTATCTCTTTTATCTTGATTCTATTTCCAATGTAATTTTACCCTATGTTATCATTTTTTTCTGTCTAATCTTTCACAATGATTCAACAGCGACTATCTTTTTCTTTTTTTATTACCCACTTCCTCTTTTCAGCTTTGGAAAGTACGTCTTTTTAGTTTCCAAAATCTGGCTGTGGCCTGTCTGCATCATGTGTGGGCTTTCTAGTTTTCTTTTTCAAAGTCTCTTCTGTTACTTCTGACTTAAGAGGAGCCACCTGTTCAGCTTGATCCCTTTCCCTCGAGGTACTGACTCTCCACAAATGGGTTGTCATCATTTATTTTTCCCTGCAAGCCCAAACGTACAGATTCCTTGGCTTCCACACATGTCAGGCTCTGGAGTCCCATGGTGCCCGGCTGCTCCGCACCTGACCCAGGACTGAAGCAATCATCCCCCAGATGGTTGCAATGAGGGCACCTGACACTCAGCAGAGCTCCTCTCTTGGACGTGCTCTCGGACAACAGAAGCTGCCTCTGCCCAGGTCAGGGCTCCGCCTGGAGCAGCCTATATCCAAAAGTGGTTGAGCTGGCCTGTAAAGGCCCAACCTCTGTCCCAGCTTGAGATCTCTGTAGGATATACTGAAGCTTTACCTCGACCACATCTCAGTTAGATGGGGTGCTGCCCTTTCTCAGGTGCAAGCTGGAATGTAATCGGGCAAGCACTCTGCATTTCCCAAGGAGGATCATTTCCATTGCAGCCCAAGAAGAGACCAGAAATCGTGAAATCAGAACTTGCTATGGCAGGGACTCAACAATCACCACCACTCAGGTTTTGGTGGAGAGGAGTGGGAAAGCTTTGTGTTGGACAGAAAGCTTAGGCTCCAGGTAGGCCCTATTAGCAAGGGGAACTACAGGCAGGCTCGCTAGAAATGGGGTATCCTGTGTGGCTGCGTAGGAGGGCGTATTTGGCGTTGTCTTTTTGGGAAGCTGTCAGTTTCTAGTCAAGGC